ATCATCAGTGCTGCATATCTGTGCAGCATCATCGGTGCCTCGTCATCAATGCCCACCAGTGCTGCCTCATCAGTGCCACCTCATCAGTGCCCATCAGTGCTGCCTATTCGTGCCACCTCATCAGTGCCCATCAGTGCAGCCTCATCAACGCTCATTAGTGAAGGAGAAAAATTACCTGTTTGCGACGTTATAATAAAAACAAAGAAAAACTTTTTTCTTCAATTTTTTTGCAATTTTTTTGTTTATAGTGCAAAAAATAAAACATCCAGTAGCAATTAAATACCACCAAAAGAAAGCTCTATTTGTGTGAAAATAATTATAAAAATGTCATATGGCTACAGTGTTGCATGACTGCGTAATTGTCATTCAAAGTGCAACAGCTATGAAAGCTGAAAATTGGCCTGGGCATGATGGGGGTAAAAGTGCCCGGTAAGCAAGTGGTTAATGTATCATGAATTCATATTTAATTAGTGCTTAAAAGGAATACAGGCTAGTTAATGTAACGATGATGAAATTATATAGCAGATGGGTCAGATGGGCATGACTGAAAAATATTCTGTAGGGCAGAAAACTGACTCATGTTAGACGGAAACCAGTAGGTGATGAAAATAAAAAATGAGTAACAGGAAAGTGAAAAATGACTAACATGATTAAAGTTGCAGAAATGAGAAGAACTAGGGTGATGGTAGAGAAGATAGGTGGTGATTAGTGATGGGCCAAACACCCCCCTGTTTGGCTGAACATTCAAACCTAACGAAAGTTCGACTGCGAACTTCGAACAGAGGGGACAGTTCATAAGCGGTATCTTACCGCATCTGATTATATGGTAAGATATTGCACTGCTACTAAAATAACTCATGGGTTATATTAAGGCATGCGGTATATTAGTAGTGAAAACATTCTTTAATGTTTCAGTTGTCAGCGAGGTTCCCTGCTGACAGTTGAATGTAAAAAGAAATGCTGGCATTGCCCAGCAATAAAAATTTTTTTTTCTAAAAAGCATGGGGTTCCCCCCCACACAAAATTAAAAAAAATGTTGTGGGGTCCCCCCCCAAAATCCATACCAGGCCCTTATCCAAGCAAGCAACCCGGCAGGTCAGCAAAGGGGGGGGGACGAGTGAGTGCGCCACTCCTGAACCATGTAAAGCTACATGCCCTCAACATGGGGGGTGCTTTTGGGCAGGGGGGCTCCCCCCCCAAATTACCTTGTCCACGTGTTGATAGTGACAAGGGACTCTTCCCCACAACTATGGCTGGTGGTTGTGGGGGTCTGTGGGTGGGTGGCTTATGGGAATCTGGAAGCCCCCTTTAACAAAGGGGACTTCAAATCCTGGCCCCCCCATGTGAATGAGTATGGGGTACAAAAAAAAAAGTGTAGTGTAAAAAATAACAGAAGACATTCTTTGACAAGTCCTTTATTAAAAACAAAAATATAATAAATGTCCCTGAAGTAGATCCAACATCAATCACAATGCCCGCCGCCGTTGCCGACCCAAAAAAAAAAAAAAAAAACCCAAAACACTCCACTCTCAACGCTGGCTCCCGCAGTCTGACAGCTGCTCCGGGATGACAGTTCTTAAATACTATGATGACGCCACAAGGGGGCAGGGTCACCCCACCCCCTTGTGACATCATGCGCTGTGTTTGGCGAGAGCATTGCAACTGACCTGTGGTCAGGTGCATTGCTTGGGTCCATCACAAATGCACTGTCAGAGTGAAGTCCATCATGGGGTGCTGCGGGCAAACAGCCCGCCGAAGACCCTTGCCCTTTGTGTGTTCGTTGAACACACGAACGGCTGATGTTTGAGTCAAACTTATGTTCGACTCAAACATCAAGCCCAACACTGGTGGTGATAGGTGACCAACAGGTTGAGAAGGAACCAAGGCAAAGATGAGAAGGACCAACAGGATCAGAAGGAACTAGGGCTGTAGAAAAATTGTGTAAATGGTTCCTGTCTAAACTTGCCCTAGTATGTATGAATGTGAGTTAGGGACCTTAGATTGTAAGCCCCTTGAGGGCAGGGACTGACGTGAGAAAAAAAAAAAAAAAAAATATATATATATATACAGTACATATACATACATTTACATACACACCCAGTATATAAAGTGCTGCTTATATTGATGGCGCTATATAAGTACCTGTAATAAGAAGTAAATAATAATTTTATTATTGTTAATAAGTTAAGTTTGTGGAAACCAGCATGATAAAAGTGAAACATGATGAACAGGGCCCAATAAATGATGACAGTATCAGAAAGTGAAAAGAACTAAACTGATAATAGGAGAGTTAGGTGGTGATGGGTGACCAACAGGTGACAGAAACATAGATGGTAAACGTAATCTGGAAGAGGAAATCAAATATATCTGAAGGAATAAGCCAGTAGACAGAAGGAAATAGAGACTGTAAAAGGAAGGCAGTATCTGAAGAAGACTGAAGTGGAAAGAAAAGGCCAGCAGGTCAATAGAATCAAGAATACTGACAGGAATAGACAGATAGGAAAGGAAGACTAGTAGGCAAATTGAGCTCCAGGACTGAAGGTAGCAAGGGTAAAAGAAAGTCAGTGGGTGAGACCATAAGATGAATTGAAAATAACAGATAAACAGTGATAGTAAATGTGTATGGAGACCATCACGGGAACTGCCATTTAGTACGACAGGGCCAACAAATTAATTGAGGCAGATCAGTGCAGGCCAGTAGGAGAACTGAAGTATCGTGGCCAGTGTTGGGCTTGATGTTCAAGGTGAACATTGGCCATTCATGTGTTCAGCAAACACACGAATGGTAAGGGCATTCGGCGAACTGTTCCCACAATGTACTGTGCCATGACAGTGCATTATGATTGGCCAAGGCAATACACCTGACCATAGGTCAGGTGCAATGCTTTGGCCAAACACACTGCATGATGATGTCACAAGGGGGCAGGGGTTACCCCGCACCCTTTTGACATCATCACAGTATTTAAAAACTATCATCTTGATGTAGCTGTCAGACGGCGGGAGCCAGCATCGAGAGTGGACTCTTGTCAAAGACTGTCCACTGTCATTTTTTACACTACACTTTTTTTGTAACTTAGTAGCGGTACCATGTACCTCATACTCATTCACATGGTTCTGGGGCCAGGATCTGGGGTTTCCCTTTTTAAAGGGAGCTTCCAGATTCCGATAAGCTCCCCGCCCGCAGTCCCCCACAACCACAAGCCACGGTTGTGTGGAAGAAGCCCTTGTCCCCATCGACAGCCCCCCATGTTGAGGGTGTGTGTGGCCTGGTATGCTCCGTTAAGGGTCTGGTATGGATTTTGAGGGGGCCCCCACGCCATTAAAAATAAAAATTGACATGGGGGGCTCCCCTCAAAATAATCCATACCAGACCTGAAGGCAGTTTTTACATTAATTGTAAAATAAAAATACTCACCTATTCTGAAGTTGTTCCGGATATTAAAGAATGTTTTCACTACTAAAATACTGCATGATTTAATAATATAACTCATGCAGTATTTTATTAGCTGTGCGGTATCTTACCACATACTCAGATGCAGTAAGATACTGCTTAGTGAATTGCCCCCCCTGTTCATAGTTCGCGGTAGAATGGGAAGGGGGGGGGGGTTGTTCTACCAATCACTAATCATGGGCTATGTGAAACAGGTGAAGCTATTTTTACAGTAATATGATTCCATTAGGTGAATGGATGTAGGTAACGATGGGCAATCGAGCACAAATGGCTAGAAAATGCCAGTTGATAAACCAAACTACAATTATTGGGCTGGTTTACTGAAGGCAAATAGGATTTTCACTTTGCAGTGGAATTTCCATTTTGCAAGTGAATGAGGTGATGATCTGCTGACTTCCATCATTTAATCACGTGCAAGCAAAAATGCTGAACTTTTTTATTACTTGCATTTGTTTATGTATTCTTTGCAAAGTAAATTTTCACCACATTCACTAAGGTAAGTGAACACTCCCTTGCACAGTTAAAAGCCAACCCCACTGAGAGTAGGCTATCAGGTGTATTGATTTTGGCATTAGTAGGGTAGCATACCATGTGAGTTTAGGAAAAATATTGAGCAGATGCGATTGGTAGATTTAAAAGGGAGTACTAAAGAAGAGAACAAAAAGGTGCCACTGAACTAAAGTGGAATTCCAATCAAATTCTAACTAAGCCTAAATCAACTCTCCATTTTAAGACTATTCTATTTACCCTGAAAAAGAAAAGTTGTCTATACTTACCTATTCTGAAGCTACAACTGTTGGGGTGTTCCATTCACTATTACATATAATAAAAAATGTAATAGGGGAGTGAGACTGCTTTTGAATGGAAAATGCATATGTGCAGGCTAGGCAATATTAGTGAGTTATATTAATTTTGATTCATTGGTGCAGTCTGACTGTTTGACTGCAGTAAACCACATAATACCAATAGACCAAACTGTTCCCACCAGTACATATCCCACCATATTTCTCTATTCTCCATAAGAGAGTTCTGTTTTATTCTGGTTTTTTTTTTTGTTTGTTTTTTTTGTTAATAATGATTTTTAGAAACCAATTGTTGACTGTTAAGGGAAACATGAGACAAACTGATTCCAAAACATTGTTTTAATTGATAGCATTGTGTTTACATCATCCTCGCTGCTTTAAATATTCCTTGAAGACATCAAGACTAAGCATCATCAATGTCAATTTACAAAAGGTGCAATAGTTTAAACAGCTGGCAATGCAATACCAATGTAAAAAAGATATAAATAAATAGAATGAGGCATCAGTGTAACTTTGAGTTAACAGCTGGTTGTAGGAGCTCAGGATCCAGTTGTTGATGGTTGAACAGTCTGCATCACATCTGTCCAACTAGGAGAGATGGCACTGAAGTTTGAATGAAGATGTTAATTCAGAATCTGATCCCCTTCAACGGGGCAATTTTTACATCTGTTAACCAGGTTCCTCTAACATTTCCGTGTAACAAAAAGGGATATTTAAGCTATTCGATAATCCATTGAGGCTCTTGCTTAAGCTTTCACCAAAGCCTGGAATTCTAAAAAAAAAAAAAAAAATAATAATTCTAATACTCTTTAGCTAATAATAGATTAAAAACAGATAGCTAGATAGCTAGATAGATAGGCAGTTAATTAGATACATAGACATAAAAACATAATTTGCAATTACACTCTATTCTAAATGGTTTTGACCTTAGCCATAGATTGTAAAAGGATCTTCTATTCAACTAGATAAAAACATGTTTTCATTCTCACCTTCAACTCCAATTTTACCATCACCATCAGAGTCACCAGCTGAGAGAAATGCCTTGGTTTCAGCATCAGTCAGATCCCTGGCATTAGCATGGAAGTTCTTTAGGAACTTTCTAGAAGTGAAAGGAGGAGAGAGACAGTTGAGCTTGCTGATAATGACAGTATAGAAATTTATTACTGCAGTGTTAGTTTACAGTGTAGCCTTTTACTATCCAATAAACTTTAGTGAAGCAGATTTTTCAGATACTCCCAATGCAAGAAGAGGGGAAGGAAAGAGAACGAAAGAGAGAAAGAGGGGAAGGAAAGAGAGAAAAGGGGAAGGAAAGGAAAGAAAAAGAGAAAGAAAGGGAAGGAAAAAAAAGAGAAAGAAAGGGGGAAAGAAAGAAAAAAGAGAAAGAAAGAAAGGAAAGAAAAGAAAGAAAGAAAGAAAGAAAGAAAGAAGGAAAAGAAAAAAGGAAAGAAAGAAAGAAAGAAAGAAAGAAAGAAAGAAAGAAAGAAGGAAAGAAAATCTTTTCAGTGTTTGATATTATTGCAAAATGACAAGAATGGTGGAAAGCATGTGCTGAGTCTTGCACATTCACAGGAAACCTATACACCTAGCACTGAATAAATTAATGTCAAGTGTAGGATCTTTTCTATCTGCACTAATGAGGTCTATTTTGTCTAAATATGCATCTGTAGTCAAACACTACTCTGTATCTTATATTCATGATAATATTGCAGATGATTATATTTATTGCACTCCTAAATATGTTTTCCAGCATTTGTTCTAACTGTCCTTGACAATCTCAAATCAATATTTTTGTGTCTGGTGTTTACAACATCTTATAATTAGAATATGTAATCAGAAGCTGTCTTTTTGTCTATTAAAAGAACAAGTGTTAATTACTACAGAAAGCTCTGTGCCCTGCAAGAACCTAAAACCTATGTCCTGCAAGGTTCCTGCTGACACATAAGCAGCCATGTAATAGAATATTTGGGATAAAACTGCAGAAAGCATTTGTTTAACTAATGTAACCCATGCCATCTAAATCAGAATTCACTTTTCATCTGTTTTACTTAAAAATATATTTAATTTTAAAATCTGAACTTTTTGTTTCTTTGCTATGGTTACTGCACTTTGCTTTTCTCCTTACTGTCCCATGCAGTCAGTTAGCATAAGTAGAACGTTAATATCCTGACTTATTCCCTTTCTTTTGTAAGTATTAATTGTAGATCGTTCTATTTTTTTAGCATATTAATACATTTTGCATTTGATTGTATTTTAAAAAAAAATAATTAGTTTTAATTATATGTACTATATTACTTTTACAAGCTATAAAACATTCTAAATCTACATATTGTTTTATTTTAGCAGGGTTTTGGCTGATACCTACTTGAGTTCCTCTTCCTCAATGTAGCCACTCTGGTCCTGATCAAGGATAGCAAAGACTTTCTTAAGCTCATCTTGAGACTTGCTTGACAGGCCAACCTTGGCAAAGAAAGATTTATATTGGAAGGAGTCCTTGGCTGTAGAAAAACAGGAAAATTTTAAAGTGAATAATAAGTCTTTGTAGAAAGCAGATAAATGTTAAAACTATTGTCACATCAAATTCAAATTTTATAAACATATTCAGGCAAATGGTAGCAAATATTTTCTTGAGGAATAAGGGTTGCCAAACCAAGATGCAAGCTGCTAATCCAATGTGGAAGACAATATTAAGGATAAAGAATTATAACAAGCAAATTGTAATATTGGTAATATAATGTAATAACGTAAATGAGATTAAGTGATTTATATTATTTTAGTAAAAAAAAAAAAGTAAATAAATATAATGACAAGCTTTAATAAGGACAGTTCTACCCATGAGAGTTAATATATCCTTTTTAAGACACTAGTCACTACAGAGCAGTGAGAAGCTATTAGAGCTACACAAGGCAGGAGGGTAATATTTATGGCACACTTGTCGGCTGGAGGGAATGTAAAAGTCTTAAGTTGTTATATTGACTTAAGATCTACATTTTACACCAAACAAAGATCAATGGAAAGTTACTTTAAGCCATAAATCCAGTTAGTGTTTAATGATTGCAAAATTTAATCAATAACAGTGAATGCCTATTTATTTGGTATGGTTGCAGGTTGAAAGAAGTCTGGTTTGCAGTCACTGATTCCTCCAGAAGGAGGCACTATTTCTCCTGCTAGACCATTAATCCTCTCTTATAAAGCACTACAAGTTGTCATATTGCTAGTCAGTATAAATAAAGCGATGAAAGCACAAAGTGGTAACAAAGTGGTTGGCACAGTACCTTCTGTGCTCTTCAGGGCAGCAGAGATGTCAGCTTCACTCAGGATACCAGAAAAAGCCATTTTAGATTTAGCACTATTGAGAAATAAATGATAATGAATAAAATGAGTTTTGGAACTGTTGAAAAGGTAAAATTTAGTTAGAAAAAAATAATTAGTAGGAAAATTACAAATGTGTTCTACAATGTCAGGCAAACAAATAATACATGTTAGCATTTATAAAGTTTGTTAATAAAGTGATAAAACTGTTTTATAATATATTAAATATAATATAATATTTTAGTTATGTTCCCTAGTTAAGGGGTAATAATATTAGCCACTGAAAAAAAGAACATTTCAACATCAAAAGTTAAGAAGATTACCTAGCAGATAATACAGAAAATCAGTTAACTTATTTCATATCATCTCTATTAAACAATCCATAGACATTCAGTTTCTAAGATGTAAACCGCTTATTTAAAAAGCAATAGCAAAGGGTAACAATAACGTGCATAGTAAATCAAAGCTGCCAATCAGCATTCACCCTTTGTCAGTTTGGAGCAGCCAGAATAAAGAAAGATGATTTCTGATTGGTGGCTGTTACTAAACTGTGCACATTGGCTGAAAATAGAAATGGAGCAAAGACAGTTTTTCAAAATACCCACAATTACCCACAACACAATATTATGTCTATTGCATATCTGTTTGCAGGTAGAGGTGTCAGATAAAAAAAATCCAAGGTCCTTTTTTATAGTAAAATTGAGTAAATGAAGGTGTGTTGAGCAGCTGCAGATGGACGAAAATAAGCAGATAAAGAGAAGTCCAGCAAATTATTCCTTTGCAATAACTGTAGTCCAGAAATTGCTGTGTGTCTTGTCCCAAGTTGATTTTTGTCCTTGGTATATAGAGGAAAGGTTACTTTTGTAGGGTTTGATTCTTCCATGCTGAAGCAAGTTACAATCCCAGAAACAGACAGGAGAGGAGAGTATAAAACTCACCTTAGGCACTTTTTGCAATGGAGGAGTCCAACAGAATAAGCTGTGCCTATCTTCCAATGGATCACCTCTTATATACTTTTGCAGACACCACCCCCAGACCATATAGAGTAGCAAAGGGGACCCAGACACAGATCAATTCTTCCTAAGCAGGACTGTAAAATTTGCTGGCTAATGAATGGGTTATTTATACCCTGCAAGGAATTTGAATTAGGGCTTTGTCAACAATTTTATATCAGAATCACTAAGGCTGGACCACACTTGTTGCTCCGTGCTAGCTTGCAAAATATAAAAACAGCCTTATATGAACTGTTAGATTTTGCAGCATTCTCTGTGTGATAAAACTCAGAAATGTGCATAGCAGCATGCTACTAACAGCTGTCACTTCATGGAACATATTTATAGTGAATGTACTGTTTATTATTTCCTTATCTTGGTTGTTCATTACAAGTTCTAAAATAGTTAGTCCACCCAGAATTATTATTTCAGGTTTTGGTAGATGCTATGGGTTTTAGATGGTCTCATAACTTTTCAGGGGCACTGGTGGTGAGATCTCTGTGCCTGACCTCACAGGTCTGTGCAGCAGCAATATTAGATACATGACATTTTCCCAAATGTTCCTGTTAGATTTGAATATATGCATTTTTTTTTTTTTTTTTACTATCTAGCCATATATTTTTACTATACATAAATATATATTTACAGTGTATACTTATATGTAGGCTTACTTTTTTACTATCTTTATATAAATATTACTTTCTATATATTATTTATTCCATATGAATTTTTTAAAGAAAATTAAATCATTTCATTATACTACAGGATTTATATAGCGCCAACAATTTGCTCAGCACTTTATATTTTATATATATAAAATAAATAAATATTTACTTATTTGTATATTAGATTTTATATATATATATATATATATATTATATATTTATATATATATATATATATCAATTTATAAAATCTAATATACAAATAAATAAATAAATAAATATTTATTTATTACAGGTACTCATATAGCACCTTCAATTTACGCAGCGCTTTACATATATATTGTACATTCACATGAATGAATTCCATATGAATTTTTTAAAGAAAATTAAATCATTTCATTATACTACAGGATTTATATAGCGCCAACAATTTGCTCACCACTTTATATTTTATATATATAAAAATAAATAAATATTTACTTATTTGTATATTAGATTTTTATTTATATATATATATATATATATATATATATATATATATATATATATATATATATATATATATTATAAAATCTAATATACAAATAAATAAATAAATATTTATTTATTACAGGTACTCATATAGCACCTTCAATTTACGCAGCGCTTTACATATATATTGTACATTCACATGAATGAATTCCATATGAATTTTTTAAAGAAAATTAAATCATTTCATTATACTACAGGATTTATATAGAGCCAACAATTTGCTCAGCACTTTATATTTTATATATATAAAAATAAATAAATATTTACTTATTTGTATATTAGATTTTATTATATATATATATATATTATATAAAATCTAATATACAAATAAATAAATATTTATTTATTACAGGTACTCATATAGCACCTTCAATTTACGCAGCGCTTTACATATATATTGTACATTCACATCAGTCCCTAACCCTCAAGGAGCTTACAATCTAAGGTCCATAACTCACATTCACACATACACATACTAGGGCCAATTTAGACAGGAGCCAATTACCCTACCAGCATGTCTTTGGAGTGTGGGAGGAAACCGGAGTACCCAGGGAAACGACGCAGGCACAGGGAGAATATGAAAACTCCAGGCAGGTAGTGCCGTGGTTGGGATTTAAACCAATGATCCTAGCGCTCCTAGCCATTGCGCTGCCCACAGCTATATATTTGTTACAATGAAATATCCAGAATTTTTGCACTCCGTATGAATTTTTTAAAGAAAATTTAATCATAGCATCAGTTTTGGGCTAAGGTACAGCACATCCTTCCTCAGGCAGAAACACTTATAGGCATGCTGTAACTTAGCCCAAAATTTCCGCTACATGGGAACACATTTTAAATGTTTTCTTGACATAATTTTCTTCAATAAATTCATATGGAGTGCAGCAGTCCTGGATGATTTGTTGTACTATATATAGCTGTGTGTGGGGTGGCCTGATTGCAATGCACTGGTGATGCTGAAGTGCAGCGCACCTTGTGTATTTGACTATATATATATATATATATATATATATATATATATATATACACACACTCACAAGTTGTGATGCTTTCAACGAGAAAGTGGTGCTTTGCTTCTGCTTCTCCTGTTCTTATATACAAAGTATATTGGTATGCATATACACTGTAGTTTGAACTGTTGAATTATTGCCGCAATGACCAGTGATGAAATCCTCTGCTTTTTAGTCTGTATATACGCTAATTGATGTTTAGCAGTAAAAATCTCTGCCAGTCTCTGCCAATCGCTGCCTTGCCTTGACTCAAATGAAAGTTAAGACACTACAGTAAAAGAGTGTTTTATTGCAGACAGTCTCCCATTTCAGAGATGGAGCAGTTTCTTCTGGCAGTAGAATGCCAGGATGAGATGAATATGCAAGGATTAGCATAAGAGCTTAATTAAGGGGTCAGATGAGGTTATCATTAAAACCCAACTTTGGGCTCCTCTCCAAGTGCTTTCCCCTAGAGGCCCCCTCCAGCTGTAATTTCTGCTTTTTTTATACTTACCTTTTCTAGAAGTCTTTAGACAGGTTACATGAAATGCGGGATCATCTTTTTCTTTGGGCCTTATGTGGTGTTCTCTGCATCAGGGGGGCAGACAGGTTAAACAAAAACCTGCACTCACAGTATGTCCATATGTCCTCAGGCTGGGCATTATATGACTGAGGACATCTTGTGGTGGAGCACAGGTACTGCAGGGGGCAGTGCTGGAGAGAGGGTGAATATTGCAGCCACACTGCCATTTTTTATAATGCTTCTGGGGCTCTGATTTCTTTAAAAAAATGGCTGGAGTTGGGCTTTAAAGCAGAATTTCAGTTCACTAATAAATTATTACTCTTTTGCATACATGTAAAGCTGAAGCTACATGACTATTTTGATCTCATTATTCCCCACAAAAGGTCTAATTCTTTCTTTCAACAGGAACTATATGTTTCAGAAGACCTTGTGATCAGGACTGCGGGGGTGGAGTGGTTGCGGTGGTGCCTTGTTGGGCGTACCAATTATAATTATTTAATTGAGTATATGTCCCTTGCCACACTCAAATACAGTACAGAATAAGTGAGGGTGAGTTGTATATGACCACTAGCTGCAATGGCCATGTCGTTAGGTCACCTCTGTAGTTGTGAAGATGACAGCAGGACAGGATACGAAGTAGCTGTGTGATGCTAGATATTACACAGTCAAAAGACTTAGAGACATTGTTGGAATGGGGATTTAAAAAGACCTCTGCAAGGAGAAAAAGGGTCACTACTGTAGAGAGAAAAAAACAGGAAGCAGCCTCCAATAGTTTAATTCCACATTTATTGGCAATTTAAAACCATTAAAATACACTTACTCCATAAAAGCACTTGTATATATACACAAGCTACAGTGTATGTAAACCACTTCCTGGAGTCATCTGCTCTCCACAGACTGGACGTATGAAAGTGCAAGTGACGTGGTAAACCCCTTTCAACTAGTTTTGTCACACTGACGTCTTTAGGAACCATTCCTGAAGACGTCAATGTGACAAAACCTTTTGAGAAAATTAATTGAGAAAACTTAACTATTAGGGAGAGCTTGTCTGGAATGTGACCTTTAATCAATGGGCTCTGCTTGCAGGACTTTTCAAACCTGAGTATACAGTGTTGCCTGCAGAGCTCTTTCCAGGTCCAGAGGCATGGTACAGTCTCTGGTGATACCCAGTCTCTTAAGACTTCTTTAGAGTATGCCATGTGGGAATGTGAGCATATGAGCATCGGAAACAACTACATTTTTTGCAGTTGTTGGACACCACAATTATCTCCCTTTTTTCTGTTGGTTTCCGTATTTAGTACCCTCTAGTGTGCTACTAGTGTTA